TACCCGCTGCAGTATTGATTTTAAAAGCTATAGAAAGACGTGACAGAAGTCAAGCGGAGGAATCGTAAGATATAAAACTGTTGCTGACAGGACAAGCGAGCAGATTTTTTTGCCGCGAAGGTTACACTGCCTATCAGTGTACGCCGGGCAAAAATGATAGAGCGCTTTTGATGTGTTGAGAAGCTAGTCAGCGTATCACAAATTATAGCTATAAATGCTCGCTGTGAACTTAACAAGACTTACTTTTATCTCATGAACAAGGATAGATGCACAAATAATAGTGGTCGTCACTATCAGCTTTATCAATAATTTGGCCAATGACAGATCGGTACATTTTGCATTGTTGAGCTTACTTCATCATGCTAGCACAACAGCAGGAAGTGGAGGCGGACGTATGCAAATTATAATCACTTTCTGTTCTGGATACTGATATCCTATGTACTCACCAGGTTCGCAAAGACGACCAACTGCGTATCAATGAGTTTGGCCGTAATAATGCGGCGTTGCACGAGATCCGTGAGCAGAAGAAAGCACTAAAGGACAAACTCGATACTCTGGATGATGCCAACACGGATCTCATGATGGGCGAGGGCGACAATGTTCGGTAGGATGTTGGTTGTAAATCTTCATCGCTAAAATACCAAGATTTTTACTAAATAACCATCAGGCTCTTTATCGGGGAAAGCTTTGTAGAGGCATCAGAAGAGTCTGCACAAGTATACCTTGAGAAGCGCATGGAGGTGAGTGTCCATTGTGATGGATTTTGTTGTACAGGTGTTTTTTAAGAAGTGACGATGCATGTACTTAGGTAGCCAACAATGAGTTTAAGAAGCTACAAAGCAAGGAATCAAAACTTGAGGCGCGACAGGCGGTACGAGGAGATATTTGTTGGTCTGGATCAGTTATTTTGATGTTACTTTGTGAATGTAGGTATTAAAGAAAATGCTGTACAGCCGTTTCGGGCAAAGCATCAATCTTGAGGACAGCTAAAGATGCCTAGGAACGACAAGAATTGAAAAGATTATTGTGGTGACATCATAAGGGATTTTATATTGGCACTTTATATCACAACAATTCCAGACCAATTATTTAATCAAATTGGTACTGGAGCAGCGTGCTCACAAAGAAAAAGCTTTCTTTTTTGTGCAGCTATCGTGATATTCTTAACAAAACTCCGGTGCATCAGGTGGCAAGACGGTACATGAGGTGGCAAGATAGCGTCACTTTGTAGGAAAATATTGCATACGATCATGAGGCCTTTCAATATTGTTGGTAAATTGTGGCTGTAGTTTCAGCAGTCATGAAGCAATTTGAGGTTTTCGCTAACTAGCAGCTCGCTAGACTTTGCCTGGCTATCGTGTGCCCGCGCAGCACGTTGCTGCACACCCACGCGGAAATCGTACGCATCTTACTGAAAGTTCTTCAATCGTCTCTAGCCTGAGAACATCACAGAAAACAACTGCCTCGTGTACATCCTTCCAACGCATGTTGTTATGCACCGTTGTGTGGAACTGAAAGTGTTCATGTTGGCGTTACGGTAAAAAGTGTGGCTTCGAATGACACGTTGCTGCAAATGTTGCTCCAGCAAATTCCTTCTGAATTATCGCACACAGCTGCAAATACACTCCGAACCTGTCCAATGGAAGAACTCACTTTTAAAGCAAATGCACTCAATTCTCGTGATCCCAACAAAGATGCTACAACTGCTTTTTGTATATGTGATAACTAGACACTGCGCCAGTCTCGTCCTGAAATTTGGCGACTGGCGTTTAGTAATGACGAGAGAGTAAGGATGACGACATCCTTCACAAAGTGTGGGCGATCCGTATTTCAGCGCATTTCTTATCTAATGTCTGAAATATTACGGCTCGTAATTCGTGTATGGTATTTAAAGCAATCAGAGTCGCTTTTGTTTTGATAAGGCGATGACTGGATTGAGCAATTAGAATATTAGAATGACGTCGGTCATACCGAGAAAATTTCTGTGTAGCATGACGAGTGGACGGCGCAGCGCCAGCCACAAGTTTGATACGGTCTACGAAACTTTCGACAAGTGGCATAAATTTTTAAATAATCTTTCACTGGGCATTATCACCCTTAAGTTTTTTTTCTCGCATGAATGTAAATAGATCAGACTTCAGTTTTTTTCTGAACTGGGATTCGTTATTTCTTCATGATGAGGAGAGTCATTTCGTCCTCATCGACACCGAATATCATGGAAAGCGGGATAAGTACGCGAAAATAAAAAAAGGACAACATAAACAAGCTCAGTGACTGTGATTTTTAAGTATCCACTTTATCATCCACTACTGCAAACTAATTGTTCTGAAGTCGCAAACCAGCGAGTCTAATTTTTCAAGACTTTTTTTGCTTGCGAACTCCATTGTGAAAGAAGTGACAGTTATCGATAAGACTGCATAGAATATGTACATTCCTTCCACCTTCGCACGTCCTTGCTCATTCTAAGGACAAAGGCTTCAAATCTCATACAAGATGATGAATCGAAGTGGTATTACTATTCAAATTACCGTCCAGTGATCATACCATCCTCAAGATGCTCGCTTGTCTGGCAAGTGTGTCACCGTCGCCTATGTCAATGAGGTGGCGACAGATGCAGACGGATGAGCAGCAGACTCAACATGATTGGAAGGGCCCGTACTCGATTATTAAAGAACTTGGGTCAGGATTGCATGGCCGCGTACTTCTGGCTTTTGACGAGCGATTGCAGCGCGACGTCGCTATAAAGCTCCCTGCTGTTTTCATAATTGACGCGTTGACAACTAGCTGTGTGAATGTCACCGATCTGGAGAGTCAAGTAGCTTCTATTCAGCACGAATGCAATGCGATGCGACGTGTGCTGCACCCCAACGTATTGCCGATGTACCAGTTAGCATCCGGCAAGAAAGGAAACTATGAGTATATTGCAATGATCACAGAGTATACACCAAATGGAGACCTCTTTGACCTATTGGAGAATGCTGGAGCGCTTCCCGAACCATTGGTTAAAGTATACGCATGTCAACTGTTGCGAGCATTGGAAGCGTGTCATGCCAATGGTGTAGTGCACCGAGATATCAAGCCGGAAAATTTACTTCTCGATGCTAATTTTCAACTCAAACTTGCAGATTTTGGCGTCGCAGCAATGACACAATTAGGAACAGATGCAACCGGACTTTACTCCCGAGATGTGAGCGGCACGGCGCTGTATATGGCACCGGAGGTCAGGACGAGACAATTATACCGTGGAACTTCTGTGGATGTGTGGTCAGCAGGTGTTGTCCTATTTATCTTGATGACTGGCCTGCCGCCGTTCAATGAAGCACAAAAGGGAGACGCGTGGTACGACAGTCTCCTAAAAGGAGACTTAGAACACTTTTGGGGCTCACAGCCTGATGAAGTTCGGCAAACCATGACACCGGGTGCGCAAGACCTCATTTCGTTGATGCTTGTTGCTCCTGACAATCGCATCACGGTTTCAGAGGCCTTGCAGCATTCATGGCTTCGTGGTGCAGATTATGTGGATTCACATTTAATTCGTGATGCAGTTTTAACTCATCTTGATGCGGCACTTGCTGTCAAGAAGATGGGATTGAAACTTTTTGGGGTCGATGAGGACACCGATTTATTTATCAATTGCAAAAAAATGTAGTATATTGATAGCTAAGCCATTATTCATTCGAAAATGAGTCACTTTAATATATAAACTAGCCAGGCGCCGCAGTCGTTGGTGCATGTCATCGTGGCATTCTTGCAATTTCTTCGTTTACTAGCTTCAAAGATGAGCCCAACTGTGGAAAGCACAAATTTACAAATTGAAGATATTTGGAATTGAAATATATTGTTAATTTTGGTAATCCATTAATAATTAACAAAACCCTTTGTAATTAAAAATTGAAGATATTTGGAATCAGAACATATTCTTAATTCTTGGTAATATACTAATAGTTAGCAAAATTCTTTGGAATTATGATTTAGAAATATACCTTAAGTAAAAGATCGAAATATACGAAAATGATTGTACGTTAGTCCTTTGTTTTGCTCAGGTCATCACGATCTCGCACTCATACCAATGAGCCGAACTCCCTACAGTCTTTCCATGAATTGGATCATAGCCTCAGTATCATGCATATCGATCCAGCCACCAGGCGAATTGTCTCAGTTCGTGCCAGTTTTGCGTATTTTATAGAAAAAAGACTTGCGGGGATAGGAAAGAGATAAATATATTCAGATTCATAACTGCTATACCAATGTCATCATCTGGCGCACCATGTCAGTTTATAGTTGGCTGTCAAGTTCTTAATCGAAAAGCCAAGAAACAGACCAGCCTCACGCTAACACAATACATTCTCATCTTGCCACCTGAGAACAGCAATTGATATTGCCGTTTATAGCGGTGTTATGGAAGTGTTTATTGGTGATGCCTTTGTCAACAAAGAAGACCACGGCTCTGTGTCGCAACAACGCGTGCTTGTACAAATCAATCCTAATGAGGTTTTCTTCCGCCAGGTAACAGCGGTTTTAAGATCGTCAAAGTCGTTGTTAGAATTGGCAGCACTGGGTCTATCACAAACGATCGAGTTTCGAATTTTGCGGGTATTGGTTGCTGTTACTTACGATCAACAAAAAAATTCGTGATTCCCATTAAAGTGCTTGATTTAGATATTTTCCTTGATCTTTCGACGCATCGCGGTATTTCTTTCTTGGTGATGTCGATTCGCATTTACAAAAAAAATCGTTTTATAACATCCACGTTGCAGCACAGGAACATAGCTGTGAACATTTGTGGCCTCACCTTAAAGTTATTGACGTTTTATGCCCGTCCTGGAAAAATGGTACTTGAAATTGCATCTGATGTAGCAAAAATATATAAAGACGGGTAGAGGGGTAATTACATAACTGGAACGAGACGCTTCGTTTCCAATATATAAGACATGGTGCGTATTGCATCAATTTGATCTAGTTATGATATTTTATAGGATGGGTTTGTCTCCATTGTGATCAAAATTGCAAGCAGTTGTCGCGAACAAGCGACCTTGATTCGCGAAATGGGAAGTAAATGCTTCAAAATGTTCACATGTTGGTTCGTGGCAGATCCAGTGTGATGATCATTTGAACATTTTTTCCATAAGTTGTAAGGCCGTCTGAACGATGTAGGCAAGTCGTTGCCGCTGTATTTGCATATTTGACACCGCTAAATGCGGGATGAAGGCTCAGCAGAACCGAAATTTTCTGATGGTCCAGCAGAAAACCAAAAATAAAGCTGTATGTTTGATCGCATCAAGAGAATGACAGAAGTGGAAGGTCTATTGACGAATGAGCAGCTGGATACAAAGATTGATTGCAAAACTGCTTGTATTGAGCCATATCATATGAATCTACCGCAAGATTGTGGTAAAGGAATTTTAAGACGTCGTTGCCAAAGTCCCGCCGTCAATCCTACCTCCGAACCGAGGTGCGCGCCATGTGATTGACCTAGTTCCCGGAACCAAATACTGCGTAACACGCCAAAAACCCCTGCCTAAGGAGCATTGTGACGTCATTGACGACTTTTTCCGTGCGTAGCACGACGCAGGAATGGTGCGTGAGAGTATGTCTCTCCTTTTGACACCCACGATTTGTGTCCTGAAGCCGAACGGCAAGTAGTGTATCGTTCTCGCTTACAATAAGCTAAATGCTGTCACCATTCCGGCACAAACACCACGACGTAGTTTGATGTATAAAGTACAGTGCACTCGGCTTGGTCAATGATTATTACCAGTTGCTCATAAGAGCGAGTGATATTCCGCTTACAGCGTTGAGTACTGCTCTGGGAGTGGCTGGTGACGCCACAAGGGCTGTTAAATGCACCAGCAACATTTAATCGTCTTGTGACGCAGTTGTTCAGGCCCCATCGGACGTATGCACAAACATACTTCGACGACATCTTCGTCCAAAGTACAGGAGGACGGGTAAAAATCACATCGTCCATTTAAAAGCGGTGCTCAAGTGCATGCGCACAGAAAAACTGTATGCTAATGCAGACAAGTAAATCCTCGGAGCAGACGAAATCCCTTTTTAGGGTGCTTTATTGGGATGCGTGACCTTCGAGCGGATCCCGCTAAGATCAATGTCATTGTGGACTGGCCGTTTCCAAAGAACTAAAAGGACTTGCGCAAGCGGTTTGGCCTCACCAACAACTTGCACGTATATAGCGCAAATTATGCGGGAATGGCACGGCCATTGTCGAAATATGCAAAATGGTGTTGGGACACCGAGGATCGGGAAGCTTTTGACAGGGTCAATGACAGCCTCCTTCATGCATTAATACTGGTGTTGCCAGACCCTGATCGTTCTTTAAGTGTCGTTTGTGACGCTTCAGACTTTGCCATCTGTGCACTGCTGCAAGCAGACGCCGGGGAGTGAGATCAGGTGATTGCGTTCGAATCCTGCCAGCATGAGGCTGTGGAGAAGAGCTACCCAGCCCACAGACAAGAAATTATTTGCGATGAAGCATGCCCTTGTCAAGTTCAGGGTACACCTGCTCGTCTCGAAGCTGTTTGGAATCTACACAGATCATGCATCAACATGCACTGCGACTCAGTATCCTCATCTCCTGCAGAGAATGGCCAGGTGGCTCTCCTTCTTCCTTCTTCGCAGAATATAACTTTGAGGTGAATTCTAAGCCAGGAAAACAGAATTCTTTGGCTGATGCGTTGTCACGCAGACTGGATTATGAGCTTGCTCATGTCACGACGGTGACGTCGTCAGTGACGAAATTACTCCGCGCCGCATACGCGGGTTAAGGTACGTGTGTAGCACTGCTACAAACACTCGGGGCAAGGAGTTTGAAAACTCGAAGAAAGAATTGTCGATGCAATTGGGTGTGCGGTTCCACCAATATTTTATGAATAACGGTTGCTGTATTATAGCACCGATTCGTCGGATACACCATAAATTGTGGTTCCTCACGATGATGATTTCAAATCCGTATCCTCTATGAGGCCCACGAACCCCCACTCAGTGTTCATCTTGGTCGTGAGAAGTTGTACAGCTCTGTGAGTTGCCTATACTGGTGGTTCAAGCTGTACAAATAGACAAGCACCTATGTGTGAACGTGTGAGACGTGTCAAAGAGTAAAACCCTCTTCGAATGCTGCGGTGCCGTTGGTCAGTTTGCCGCCGGATGTTAGCAGTCAATGAGTTTGGACTTTGTGTTTGGCCTGCTGAATGACTCGGCGGGAAAACGGGTGTCGTGGACTTTGTGAACTGTTTGAGCAAGATGGCTCATCTTGCGGCAGTGCCGAACACCATCGACGGTGTAGGTACAGTGACGCTGTTTGTGGATCACGTCTTTCAATAACACGGACTCCTCGAGTAAATTACATCTGATGGAGGTTCATGCTTCAATGGGTAGTTTTAGTAGACAATCTTCAAGTTACTGGGCACCAAGCTAACTACGTCAACAGCGGACCATCTGCAGAAAGATGGTCAAACCGAAAGGGTTGATCGCATCGCCAAAGACGTTCTTCACAGCGTCTGCGCTGAGACGCCGAAGCACTTGAGCGCTATGTAACCACTCGTAGATTTTGCTCTGAATAATGCAGTGCGTTCATGTACCGGCTATACGCCGTTCTACGTGAACAGGCTTACTTATCCTCGCCTCTTGCTGACGCCGCCTCCTCATGGGCTTGGTGGGGAGGAATAGCCAAACAGTTAGCTGATGTCATCCCCCCTCACCGTGCGTAAAGAAGTTCACGACTTCCTTTCTACATGACTGAGTGCCTCACGAAAATTTGGCGATGCGATGGCTGAAAGCCAAGACATGCAGAAAGAATAGGCAGACGGAAGAAGCAATGTTAAAAACTTTAAGTCGGTGACCTGGTTTTATTAAATGCTATATCGTCCCACATATGCAGTCGCTGTTGCCTTAAAGACGAAGCCCTGTCCATGATTTATCGGACCTTTCAAGGTCGTGGCTATGCGGGGCCTTGCGTATACGCTAAATCTTTCGAGAACAATACGCACCGATCCGGTGTTCTATGTGGGCTTGCTTAAGCCGTTTCGGGATCCATCGCAAGTGCACACGATAACTTGGTGCCGGGCAGTGGCCAATGGCGCTCAGCCACCCAGAAGCTCAACCAGCATTTGACTCTGAGCACGGAGTGCCGCAATTTCCGTTCCAACGGCTCAAGGCACTTCACCATCGAACGAAGTGATGTATTCCTCTGCTCGACTGCTAAGGGCCAATCCGACAGAGCTCGATAGTCCTCAACGTGAGACAGTCGGTGAACAAGGTGCTCCAAACTCTCGAGCCTTCCGCACAGCGATATGTGACCTCGGCAAGATGCTCGGCAGAATGCCGATGACGACAGACTTTGCCCTCCAAGTCCCGGAGAGCATCGCGAATCATCAGACGATAATCGACCAAGTCGTCATGGTCCGCCGTCGACTCTTCTCGAAGAGAGTGGTGGTGTCCACAATCACGTGGTACGTCGACGTCGTCGCCAGGGTCAAATCCAGTATCGTGTAAGATGGCGGAGATACACCAACTCCGAGAACTCGTGGCCACATCAGCAAGACTGCTCAGACGTCGTGGACACCTATGAACATGCAATCATGACGATTCGAGTCGTCGTACGCCCCGCGCTTCTAAACACTAAACCTTAAGCCTTTAAATCGACATTTGAGCTTATCTTTTGGTTATTGCTGGTGAGATTACCTCGCTCGTATCGCGTCAAAAAGTTCTGCCGTGATGCAGCTGGCGACCCGTTGGATCGCTTTGGCGATCACGACGTCAGGTAGTCTCAAACGAATGTACAAAAAGAGATTGCAATGCGTGTGCTTGCAGGTGAGCTCTCTCGTCTCGCTGGATGTCATTGTGAGCTTTTCGGCAGGAAATAGTTACACCATCTCTTGTAGAGATCTTGCTCTGTGAGTACAACTCGCACCATGGAGTTGTAGAGCGTGAATAACTCCTCAACCTCACAGCGCGGTGGGTGTCTGAGTGCATAGGTAACTTTTCCGGTGCTAGGACAGGACTTGACGAGAGCTGTAAGCGGTTTCATAATAGGGACGCTCGGCTGCACACCCTTATGGCTCGTAGTTGTCGTCCGCGGTACGGGATCATCTACCGTACCTTTCTCATTAGGAAGTGGGCGCGTAGATGGGATGGTCTTTAATGTATATTAAGATGGTAGGATGCAGGTAGTGTTTGTTAAATTGGTGGAAAAAGCACCCCAGGTGAAATAAGTGGTCAGGGAGCGTTTACTGTTGCTCAATGAATCATTACAACAAAATGACTGTGGTGTTTTTTTGTTGAGGGCGTACTCCTGTATGGCATCCAAACTTAACACGATTATCATCGGTGACCACTACGGGGTAAGAAATCTTAGAGAGGGAGGGGGTTTGCTACATCTGTGGTGCTAGCTTCAGGCAATGCAGTACGTCAAGAGCTATTGTTGTAGGTATTATAACAAATAAATTGAGTACGACTTTACACAAAACTAGATTAAAGTCATTTTTGGCTCTAAAAATTTAGAAGAGCAAACATAGGCTTGTTACTTGAAAAGCTCTCGGTTCGCCTCCTGGTAAAAGTGTGCAATCCCAACCGCGTAAAATTTTGATGTATATCGCTGCATCGGAACTTTTTCGGTGAAGAGTCGATGACAACTACGTCACATGCAGGTCAGGTCCCCGCAAGAGCAGTATAAGTAGTCCACGGATCAAAAGATGTTAAGCTCCTTTCTTTTGAAGCAAACTGGTGAAGTAGGTGCCTTGTTAAAAAATACAAACGCAAGACTTTGAGTTTAGTTGGTCCGGGTATAACTTTTGCTTTATAATTTCTATTGGATTAAATATTAATTAAAGCTGCATCATGTCTTACTAAACTCCATTTACACTGGCATGGGTTTAGTCGACCTACTGACATGCCTGAAATACATTCTTAAACGGACTAGAAAGTCTCCAAACTCCTTTGTTAATACGACCAAACTATTCTTGCCCTTTCATCCTCACTTTAGCTTCATTCCATCCCATCTACATCTATAGAAATTTACTTGGATGACGTCTCTAATTATGACAGATGGATGCGTTGTTTAGCCCAGCGTGACTACACACAAAGTGCAATCAACCTTTGATGATCTTGATCCTCCTGTATTTATTAGCAATATTATTAGTAGGCTTAATGTCGACAAGACCGTAGCAGGTGGCAGTTGCATATTATTTTTTTCAGATTTCTTTAACAACAGGACAAATTATTGAGTAACTAGCGCCAATGACATGCAATTGGCTTTTAAGCTGCAGTGGTACTGCTGTCCTAATCTTCAACATGAACTTGTGCTTAACTGGCGACTTTGATCACACTATCTGAAGTAGATCACCTTCCAGCAAAGTCTTCACATCGGTTAAAATCAATGTACTCCCTTCCGACTCGTTTGCGCTTCGATGCCCAATTTTAAGTGCTCTTCATCTACTTCAAGACTCAACAGAAGCTTTTCAGTATGATTCTTGATACATTAAGACATGTATGTTCTGCCTACCACTGGCATTGGCGTGTTTTCTTGAACATTCTGACTCTTGGTCGTTACAAAGCGCACTTGGCACTACGCGCTCAGTCCCATTGATATAAATTCCTTGATCGATACTAAATGTATTTGAACAGATATTTGCAAGTTAAAACGCATCGATAGTTACCCCCTCACCGAGAACGGAGTTTACTAAATTGCGCTGTCAACGTAACGCTGAGGTTATCAAACTATTTCGAAATGAAGCTTCGAAGTTGCTGAAACATGCACTACGCTATTCAATACAAGCTCTGTCAGTGGGGAGTACTCGCTTTGGTACCGAGGATAGCTGTGCAAGTGATCTGTCTGCAATTGCTCTGTGGCAGACTTGTCAAATTTGATGCTAGGCACCTGAAGCATACATCACCAGAATTTGAATGGAAAACGCTGGTATTGATGAAAAATATTGCTATTATCGAGCCGCGTTGGAGAAAACCTATGATGATATCCATCTTGAGGGCAACATCAACGGTAGCGTCGTTGCTAGCAGTTGCAAGGTGATCCATTCCTTTTAAATGGTCCGCCAGACTGCAATGCCGTTATAACCGGACGCGTCTTTAGAACCAAAAAATGTCCTTATTAATGATCTCCTAACTTTCCGCTAGGGCTGACAGGCTACTCCAAAGTGCCTCTATATCCGGTGAAATTCTTATTCTTAAACACACCCCATATGAGTCCATGCATGTATACGCTAAAACATGTTTAGCCAATATAAGGCTCGCAAAACTGAGAAATTGATCCTTCCGAGGTGGTGACACATAATTGGGTCCTGTGGCTAGTTCAGTATTTTGTAATGAAGGCTCTCATGAGGTACCTTGATGCATTAAATTTTGAGTCGGTTGGTGCTGCAACAAAGCAAGTCAGAGGATAAGGCATGGCGGTACAAATAAGCGATCCTTTTGTTCGGTATAGTGACACTAAGATTGCAAACTCCGAGCAACAAACCACATTTTGTGACATCCCCTTAAGCTGAACGTATTGCCTCATCAATCGATGACAACACCATAAAAAATACGACGGGCGACACAAAAGCGCTTTCGCCATCATGTTATACCTATCCAGCTTAAGCCTTGGCTTGAGAGTAGATCCGATAAGATATGCTATAATCTTGTCTTTTCTCGTGAGAGATATAGGACCGACGCTACCGTGCGGAACGACGCATGATTTTTTTGTACTCAAATGGCTTCGGGTCAAGCAGACGTACTCCGATATTTAGAAAAGAACCATTTTCAGCGAATAACGTCATTGTGTGAGTTTGACGGGTTTTGTACCGCTTTGATGCGATGACACAATTGATTTCATAAAAGTCTACGTGGAGCGGAACATATCTGTGCCAAAGGCGAAATCATCACAGACATTATGAAATCGCCTAACACGATAGCTCCATATACCTACTTTCAGAGTAATTTTATTCAACCACAACGAATACCTTTGGACATCACTTACAAGGGTCAAGGTGATGAGCCGTGTCATGTGGGAATTATTACTATTTTTGTGCAAATAGCTGGCCAATCTTTTTCGTTTTACCCTATTAAAACATCGTCAGTAGCAAGTCCAAGTAGCTTCGGCTTTCGTAAGATTCGTCTAAAGATTTAGTTCAAATAAAGAATTTCACGAAAAGATTTTATCAACAGCGAATACCACCGTTTTTGTGGTATTCACATGCTGTACAATGATTTGGCATTGGCGCCGTATACATCCACTTCTGGAAGGCTTCATCAGAAAATAATGTATTAACCATGCTCAAAAAATGAAGACTACCGAAAATTGACAAGCGCAGCTACATCAATGGAACTTAGCTTTGCCTCATCTAATATAAAGCAAATATGGCCAAAATCGGGCGGATCTATCTCGATGATGAAATGGGTTGCCAAATGGTCATTGAATGGGGGATAAGTGCTATATATTTTAATATTAATAAACGATTATGTGATCCTTGATTCCTGTCTTTTCAGATCCATAGAGTCTTCTATTCTTTTCCCTCCAAAAACGTTTTTATACTCCAAGCAGATGTCATTGGGTATGAACGCATCACTGAAATTTTTATTTCTACTACGAAAAAAACTCAAAGCGGCGGAAGCAATCCAGAATCTTTGAAGAGGCACTTTGCTTGACTTAAATTTAGCCCGTTTGAAACGAGGGTATAGTGTAACTATGACCCAGTCGTCAAATTAAGGACACGTGCAACCAAATGCAAAAGACCCGCACAGCAAAGATTTGTTTGTTTGAGTCCGCATTAATCAATGTACAATTTACGAAATTTGTATGGATCACCCAGGCACGGAACCTGTTTACATGTTCTACGGTCGTATTCCTTACGGAATGCCATCAAAACCATCTGTACCAAGTACTTATCGTAATACTTCGTCATGGTACTCAATCTTGATGCTTCTGAGCTCCATTACTCGTCGCTTAGAGTAAATTATATTATTGCTTACACGCATTATTCTTTTGTCTATAAACATAGAGTGAAGGTCAGCAGAACCAAAGATCAGTACCACATTGTAGCATTATATTAGGTTCTCGGTACATGCGAGGATTCTGGCGTCCCGTCAAAGAAAGGTTTACCACAAGTGTGAGCTGGTATACCATTCTATCCAATATATAGTGAGTCAATTCTGCAAGAAATTAAACACATATTTGAAAAAATCTAAGCTGGATTAATCATAAAAGATATTATTTTTCAAGCGAGTTTAGAAGAGGTACTATTGCGCAAGAGGTTGTACGACTACGTTATATGTGTCATCGATAAATTGAACTTATATTTAGAGAACTTACCCAGTGTGAGCTCCCGGCAGTTTTGTTGCATTTGTGAGCGAAAGTTATCAATTAAACGAATAAGTCAGGATATGCATGGATCTTCTGTGATGTCGAAATACGATATATTTACCTTCCTGTACTGACGACAAGCTGAAATACTCATTCCTCGAATATAGCACACCAAGCACTTATAGGGTTAGAAGCGGCTGCCAAACACGTTGGGGCTTTTGCTAGATATAAACAACTGTTGGCACCAGCCCATAATATTTTGAGAACACCTCACACTGGCGTTTGTAAAAACCAACGGTTTTTGCTGTCAGCGTGCGGATTCTAAGCGATCATATTTTCGAGAATCAAACGAGAGCACTCGTCTTTCTGGGTAACAAAGACCGAGATGTCCTTGAGCTCAGCTACGATATAGAATTGGTAACACCACGTCATACTTAAAGTCTCTTTGCCAAAGGGACAAACGCTAGACCGGGCACTTAACTATTAAACATATGTGAATAGATCAACAAATGTTTTAAATGTTTGAATCGCCCAACTTGGCGTACAGTGTCAAAACAGGATACAATTACGGGCTATTTGTAAGAGTTTTGACTCTCACTAACTGAATGGTAGCAGACCTCTTCCAGAAACGGATCATACTTCCTTCATCGAGGGTATCCGGACAGGTGTAACTCTTAGGGAAACGTTCCGTCTTCGAGCTATTTATTTAAAGAAAGCACTTGGCGCCTCATTAACATACAGCATGATTTTTGTATATCAATCAGTATTCGATCAAAGCCTAAAACAAGGGGCTCTTAGCGCTCTTGAAGTGATACGTCTCAGCAATACTTAAGAGGACTAGAAGCGTCATTTAATAGCCAAGCAACACCATACTTTTCGCAGATGCTTCATTAGACTATATTTGTATCCTTTATTCCCCCAATTTAAAGTTTAAAGTGTCGAGCACGCATTCTGACACACGAGCTCCTTGTGAGAGAAGTCAAAACACAGTATGTTCAAGACGGTATACCGAGATAGACCTGCGCTCTTTAATAGGTTAGGACAGGTTTATTCAGTCTACAAGTTACGAGCTCTTTATGTGAGAAGTACGACTCAACCACCAGCGATACAATCGTCAATGGCTAAGTCTCAAGCCTTGTGTAAGCCTGGATAGTCTTGTAAAGTCATGTCACTAATACTCGCACTAAAGCTTTGATTAATTCCTCGTATCGAAGATGAATTTCTAACAGTTAAAAAGCTGTTTGGCCTTAGATCATCCTTTGATGAACATATCTCGGAAATGAATCCCTTCAAATGATGTGGGTATAACTTTATGCAACAAGAATGGAACGGAAGGCAAGGACTTCGCCTCTTTAGTGCAGCTTTTGTATCAAATTTTTGGATAGATTCTCTGAACAAGAAAACCTTTTGGCTACGGCATATGGCTTCGATTGCTTTGGTGAAAACCATTGGCTTATCCAAAACTGTTGCCAACTAAATTGTCATATGCTTCGAGTTTGATTTTAAACGCGAAAGCAGCAGAGAATCGCGTACTAAATGGCATTCGTAAGGTCGCGACGTAATATCGCGGCTTCTAGATTTTACCGCTGCATAGATGAATTACTACAGTAATAAGCTGGGGTTTCTCGATAGTTATTTAAAAATCAAGGCAAAAGCAAATGTGTGGCGCGAATGTTGCACAGGTAGACCGCTTTGCATATCAATCAGAAACACTCTCAAGCAGTGCCCGCGTATAACCCAAATAAATAGCTATTTGCAGCATGGGCAAGTATGTCTGTGGCATCGACGAGATTTCATTTCTGGAAGGCTTGCCATGCGGACAGATTTTGCAAAGATCAAAGCCAATTTTTCATGATAGCCATTTAGCGTCCTCGAAAAGTAGTTTTAGCTGGCCACTGGGCTACCGAAGCTCTTGCTTAGAGGAAGCTGAGCTAAGGTCACCATAAGTTCTATACAAAAACCAATACGAGTATAGCGGGTCGCAAATCGCTACTTCTAAGTACGAAAGCCTTACCGAGGCAAACGAACACTTCTGTTCAATATACAACTGTATTTACTTGTTTTAGTTGCGACAGAGCCGCCAATTTTTAAAACCCTAGGTTTCTCTAATTAATATAGTAATACTTAATTAGCAAGACCTAATTACCATAGTAATATGCATTACAACTGGCAAACTTGCCACGTAATGGCTTCTTGTTATGGTGTATCCACACTACTGTGTACACTAACTGTGTAATACACACATATGTTCGGTCGCACAAGATTGTGCAACCCGCCTTTTCTTACAAAGGCACGTGTAACCCCGCTACAGATATTCCGCTGACAGCGGTAAGTACTCCGAGCGAGATGCTCTGAAAGAAGCCGGTGATGCCCCAAGAGCTGTCAAATACACCAGCAACATTTATTCGTCTTGTGACGCAATTGTTTAGGCCCCATCGGGCATATGCACAGACATACTTTAACGACATCTTCGTCCACAGTCGTGCGGAGCACGCGAGGACAGATGTGAGAAACCACATCGTCTATTTGAGAGCGGTGCCTGAGTTCATGCGCACGAATAAGCTGTATGTTTATGTCGATAAGTGCATCTTCGGCGCGAAATGCGAATATCGCAATCAAGCGCTCGTCATGTTGTCAGCAAAATTCCCTTTGTAGAGTGCTTCGTTGGGAGGCGTGGTCTTCAAGTGAATCCCGCTAAGGTCATAATTATTGTGGACTGGCCGATTCCAATGAGCCAAACGGACTCGCGCAAGTGGCTTGGCCTTGCCAAATACTCACACAAGTATAGCGCAAATTATGCGGAAATGGCACGGCCAGTTTGAATCCCTTAAGAAGGATACAGAAATGTGTTGGTACACTGAGAATGACAACAGCCTCCTGCATGCACCAATACTGGCGTTGCCAGACCCTGATCGTATTATCAGTGTCGTCTGTGACGCTTCGGACTTTGCTATCGGCTGTGCACTGCTACAAACAGACGCAGAGGGGCAAAATCGTTCGAATCTTGCCAGCGAAAGGCTAGAGAGAGATAACAACCAGTTCACGACAAGGAATTACTTGCGATGAAGTATGTTTTAATCAAGTTCAAGGTCCACCTGCTTGGCTCAGAGCCGTTTGTGATCTACACAGATCATGCATCCTTACGCACTGCAACTCAGTCGCCTCACTTTCCACAGAGGATGGCCTGGTGGTTTTCATTCCTTGCAGAATATAACTTCGAGGTGAAGTATAAGCCAGGAAAGCAGAGTTCTCTGGCTGATGTGTTGTCACGCAGACCGGATTATGAGCTTGCTCATGTCACGACGGTGACGTCATCAGTGACGGATTTGATCCGCCGCAAACACGGGTGATGATATGTGTGTAGCGCTGCTTCAGGCTCTCGGGGGCAAGGAGTTTGAAATCTCTGACAAGAAACTGTCGGCACGTTTGCGCGTATAGTTACACCGATATTTGTTTCATAACGGGTTGCTGTATTAAGCACCGATTCAAGGGATAGGCCGCGAATTGTGGGTTTTCACGATGAGAATTTTGAACAATCGTATTTTCTATGAGGTCCACGACACCCCCCCCACCCAGTGGTCTTGGTTGTGAGAAGACCCACAGCTTTGTGGGTCGCCGCTACTGGTGGCCCAAGGTGTAAGAATGGACGAGCAGATATGTGCGCACGTGTGAGAGGTGTCAGAGGTTAGAACCCTCTTCGAATGCGGAGGCGCCGCTGGGCAGTTTACCGGTACCCTCCGGGTATTTTCAGTCCATGAGTATGGACTTTGTGTTTGGTTTGCTGAAGGTATCGGCGGGAAACACGGGTATGGTGGTCTTCGTTGACCTTTTGAGCAAGATGGCTCATCGTGCGGCAGTGCCGGACATCATCGACGGTGTGGGTATAGCAACGCTGTTTGTCGATCGTGTCTTTTGACAGCATGGACTCCCGGAGTCAATTGTCTCTAATAGGCTTCACTGGAAGATTTTGGTCTTCAATCTTCAGGGTGCTGGACACCAAGTTGGTTATGTCAACAGCGGACCATCGGTAGAAAGAGTATCAGACTGAGCGCGAGAATCGCGTCGTCGGAGACGTTCTTCGCAGGTCTGCGTTGAGACGCCGAAGCGCTAAAGCGCTATGTTGCCACTCGTAGAGTTTTCTCTGAACAATGCAGTACATTCATCTACCAGCTATACGCCGTTCTACGTGAATGGACTTATTAATCTTCGCGTTCCGCTGACGCCGCCATCCTGGTTCAAGGCTTGGTGGGGAGGAATAGCCGAACGGCTGGCTGATGACAGCCCCTTCACGGTGCGTAAAGAAGTCGGAGATTTCCTGTCTACTACAC